AATAAATACAGTTATCTAAGTCAGTTCTTAACTGTAAAAAAATATCATTGCTCATTACTTCTACACGTCTCATCACTGTATTAGCAGAAAGTTGCATAAATTTTATAGCTGAAACTATCTCGTCTTTATTTCTAAAGTTGGCAAATAACGAATCAGCAACTTCTAAAAACGCCTGTTTTATCATTACCCCGTCTTCATAAGGTTTCTTTTTTGTGCAATTATCTGGGACACACGGTACGATGCTTCAATTGCAGCCTTATATTTGTCGACTGATCTTAAAAATATTGATTGTTGTCCAATTAACTGCTTTTTTAACTGTTTCAGTTTTTCCTTTCTGGCGGCAGAATGTAGTGGGAATGATTTTTCAAAATTAGAATGTATAGTTTTATGATGTCTCTCAATATTTCCTTTTTTAGCAACGGAGACCGAAGTATTACATAACAAACACACATTTTTATCTTTAACTTCTGTAAAAAAGTATTGTTCTTCCCATTCCGAATGAAAGTGGTATGTCTTTACCTTCTTACAACTGCTTGCCATAATATTATTTTTTATTGTTCTCTACTAACCCAACCGCTGGACTGTCAATTATGATTTAAAAAAAAACACATTTCTTAACTAATAATTTAAACAATAGATATATTTAAAAAACGATTATAAACAACTAAAAGTTATTAAGAAAAAAATTTTTTTTTAAAAATCATAATTGGCAATTGTCTAGAAAGTTGTAAAAAAAAAATTTGAAAAAAATTGAAATACTCCATTTGTTTATAAAAAAATTTATAAACAATTGGAGGAAATTTTTTTTTTATTTAATAAGTGTCTTTTCTCGACATTAAAACAGTAATATTATAATAAATTGAAAAAAAAATTTTATAGCACCACTGTGACTTTTCTGTTTTTGTAAACTTTAAAAAATTATTATAAACAAAGTATTAACATTTTTTAAACTTTTATGAAGCTATTTTGTTTTATATGTATATAAAAAGAGCTCCACGAAGCAAAAAAAATTTACGGTAATTATTTAATATTTTTATCAATTTGTAATGATGAGAGAAATTCTAAAAATTTTGTAAATTAACAATAACCTACTTAGTTGTAAAATTTATTTTTATGAAAAATTCCAACGGGAATGAATTCTTCTGTTTAGAATACACCGTAATTTTTTTAAATTTTTGAATTTACTTAAAAAAAATATTTTATGTAACGTACTCGGTTTCTTTGAGCGTTAAATTAAAATTATAAATAATGGAGGTACAGTTCCGGGAGTCGGAATTTATTTATAGCAAATTTCCTCCTTTTTAAGGATCTTTTTTGAAATCCAAAAATATTTATGATTTACAAACTATAGGCGAACAACCAAACACCATGTTTTTGAGGTGTTTAATTGTTTATAACTTTTGCAATTGTTTATGCACTGCAAAATTTTTCTTTACACATTGATCTAGACATTATTCCGAATCGAATGAGCTATTGAACATAATTTTCGTAATAGTATGTCCCAAAAACACGCTTTTGAACTTGTTGATTAGACTAGATGATGATGACGATTGTGATATTTTGGATGATAATGACTGATTTTCATTTTTGTTGGCAAGTTAAATTATTTTTTTTTTATTTAAAATTCTCTACATGAAACAAATTTTTATGTTAGAAAATATTTTATTTGAGCTAAATAACCCTCTTATTATACATAGACCATATTTTCTGTGTGAAGTGTAATATAAAATTATTATTAGGTTTATAATAGCCACATTAGACTCCATTAATGAAGAAGTTTAATTCTGCTCTCAATTATACAAAAGATTCTTCATTATTATTTAATTAAAAAGTTGTACATTATTTTTCATTTTATTTAACCAGTTGATATTTCCCCAATAAACAGGTCAAACTTTCGGGTACTTACCTGGAAATACTCATAAAAATTTTAATCCGAAACCCGCGTAAGTATAATATATTTAAAACGTTATTTTAAAAATTTTTACAGTTTTTTTACGATATGTTTTGCAATACCATTTTTTTTGTAATTATTAATTAAAAAATTATATATTTTTAGGACAGTGTTTTATTTAGATATCCCTACGTGCTTAATGTTAATTTAAAATTTTAAATAATTTTGGTTAACATCATACCAGGCAAATAATATAGTAAATGCCAATAAACTATAAACCAATAAATATTAAAAATCGGAAGGTTACTTGAATTTACCTACATGAAAAAATCATCATAATTATATTACTAAAAAAAAAATATAACTACTTATTTACGTATTTTTTTTACATACTACTCTGACAATACTGGTAAGTTTAAAAGTCTACGCCACTGGTAAGCATATTATGGACACTGTTTACAACGTTGCCAGCCGGTCCTAAGAGATCTGTCTTTCTCTCTTCCACTCACTAACAATTTTAAAACAATAACAGTCCGCAATTGTATGGGATTTATGAATGAAACATTTTGTCTCTATGTTGTAATGTCTTTGGACATACCTCATAAAAACAGCATTTCTCCTTAAATATGTAGGTACCAGATGCGTGGAAAATGGCTGAAGTTATTAGGGTTGCCACATTTCCGGAAGTAAAAAGGTCCTTTTTTTGAACATTTCTAAAATAATCTCAAATTATGAAGAAAATTCACTTTACTAACTACTAATGTTTATAGATGGTTTTCAATGTATTAAAAACAAAACAAATATTACACTAACTAAAATATTCATTTATTAATAGTTGTAGTGTTTGAAAACAGTATGATGTTGATAATAATAACTACATTTCTTAATACAAACTTAAATAATAAAAAAAAACAGCCATATTGGCTCTTGTTCAAAGTTTTGAAGCGAACTTACAAATGATAAAATTATTGGAAAAAGTGAACACCCATTTTAAATTACAACAAGCCGCTACTGTATTTAAGTTCAATAACCAAGAAACATATACAATAACTAAACCATTCATTGCATACCTGCCGATTGTAACCTTATCTCCAAAAAGAAAAAAAACTACACCAGTATCACTTTTCCCGATTTACTACTAATCTTCACAAATAAAAAAACCACACAATAACAACAATACTTTGCAGACAAGTTAAAGTTCCGTTGCGATTTTTTTTCTACTGTCAACGAACATTTATAATATACACTTCAAATTCGATTAATCTGATTGATCCAGTTATTATACTTATTTATTATAGTTATTTATTCTATTGTGCTTCTAATTTAACTGTGCATATCTTTTAACTAGTTTTATTTATATATGTCTGCATTGGCGTAAAAATAAAATCAGTTTCAATCTCAATAAGAAAGAGACAGTTCGGTATTAGTAAAACGTATTTAGCGGGCATGTTTCTAAGAGAATCTTATTAGGGCAACGGCGTTTTATTATTTAAAATGATAGCGTCATTAAGATGAAACAGATCAAACTTTCTTCTTAATCATCGCTAAACTACTTCAAGGGTTATAATAGAACATTTTACTAATGTTTACTAACTGAAAATAGTCGTTACTGTCGCTTTTATAATGAAGTATAAAAAGTATGCAGAAAAAATAGTTTTATTATCGTTGTCATGTATCAAAATTATTTTTTTTACTTTACCATGCTTTCTTTTTATTGATTGTAAACGGTGGCAAAATGTTTTATGTTTCTGACCAATATCCAAGTAGACGAAGAACAATGAATGTATAAGCATTGCAAATAACATCTCTCTACTTTAGATCTAAATTAGAATACGGATCTTTAATTTGGAGTCCCATATATTTTCAGTATATGCTATTGAGAAAGTTCAAAAGACGTTTCTCAAATTTTTACAATTTAAAATTGATGGAATTTATCCTATTAGAGGTATGGACTACTAGGACTACGATATTCTATTAAATAATTTCCACAAGCCATCTGAAAAAATGCATTTTTTGACTGCATTTTTGGCTGCAGCAATGCAATTTCCGGTTTGTATAAGATAAAAAGTAGGGGCATTTTTTCCAAAATATTTTTGGAAAATGCAAAAAACCGCATTCCTATGCGTATTGGTCTAAAAAATTCCGAAATTTCTGATAATATCACACTAGTAAGGTCACTTTTGTACGATAAAATCATAAAAACTGATCATTTCTACAACAATTTGATTTTGGTCATCTGGCAACACTGGTGATGGATCAGTCGTGAAGGAGCACTCTCATGAGTTAGGGAATAGGTATTTTTGTCATATACAGTGTGTTTCATAATATATGCGCAGGACTTCAGAACGTCCAAAAATATTAAAAAACGTTTCTATTAACTTACCCTCTAAAATGCACCATTTTCGAGATACAGGGTGTTGAAATTGAAAAAAAAATTTCTACGCCACTGGAAAAAGTACGATTTTGAACCGCCAATGTTTTCTACACAAAAAAGGTACTCTTGGTCATACGCTCTAAAGTCGACCGTTTTCGAGAAAAATCAAATACATGGTCAATTTTTGGAAATATAACAAAATTTGATTTTTCTCGAAAACGGTCGACTTTGGAGCGTATGACCAAGAGTACCTTTTTTATGTAGAAAACATTGGCGGTTCAAATGGGTGTCTCAAAACCGTACTTTTTCCAGTGGCGTAGATTTTTTTTTTTTCAATTTCAACACCCTGTATCTCGAAAATGGTGCATTTTAGAGGGTAAGTTAATAGAAACGTTTTTTTCATATTTTTGGACGAGCTATCACGTCCTGAAGTCCTGCGCATATATTATGAAACACCCTGTATATGATTTCTCTAAAATAGCGTATTAAAAAAATTTAAAATCTTTTTAGTATTTTTGTTGGCAATGAAGGTAAAAAAAATATTTTTTCTTTAATTCATAATCAAAGAAATTTTTTGATTAGATGGGCAGTACTCAATGCATTTAATACCTTTATGGGACACATCAAATATTTTTCCGCTTTTTAAAAATTCATTATTTTTAAAAGTATGTGTGTGTGAGTGATATTTTGGCATCAAAAAAAGATATTCTTTATTAAAAATTGTTAAATACTCACATAAAATAAATATGTAGCTCTCCAAAGAACTCTGAAAATAGACTAACAAACATTATTAGTTAAATAGGTAACCGATAAGTTAAAAAAATATATAATTAGTGATAATTATACGGCAAATTAAAAAAATATATATATAAAAAAATATAGGCAATTAAATACAAAATCATTATCTTTATTTTCGCTAAATGGAGCTTATGAATTTCCAACTTTAATATACGTCGAAATATTTCAATGTATACAAAAAAAGTTGAAGCACTAAATTCTACAATTGGCTGTTTGTCCTTGGCAACAAACAAGCTCTGCTGATTTACGGTGTCGGGAATTGTGCAAAAGCTTCTGATAGCGTTTCCCTCGTCATATTTCGTCGAAAAAAGTTTTAGTGTCGTTAAAAACTTATTAACAAAAAAAGAGCAGATTGAATATCACAGAAAGGGGAGATTTACGGTTATTCCTTACAAAACTCAAGCCAAATATTGATAATTTGCTGTCAATCCATCAAGTACATCCCTCTCATTAAAATTATATTTTTTTTGTAATTACCATTGTAGAAATTACATTATGTTATAAGTGTTTAATTTTAATTATATTACGACGGTTATAACAATAATAATTAATAGTGTAATAATTTATATATTTAAATTTAAATACCTACAACACAAGGAAATATACTATATTTCTTTTTACCACTCCAAATGGGACGTTTTCTAAATAAAATTTGTGAGAATCGATTGGTTCTTGTGCTGTGAGTCACTGTAGATTTCAAAAAAGTAAAGTTGGATGGAGTCACTTTTTCGTTTGACCAAGTCTGCTTTTTCGACATTCACTCACAGCACAATCAATTAAAATTTAATTGAAAATTTGTTTAGTCGACTTTATTATCAAATAATTAACCCTATCAAGCAATCAATTCTAACCTTTTTTTTTTCGAAAACTATTAATTCATCGTTAAAACTGCCACAACGCAAGTTTCCATAGATAGATCTAATCTTCACTTTTTTTTTTCGAGATTTAGAAATTGGATCCAGCAAAATTTTGAAAGTGGTCTATGAAACAAAAGAGTTTGGGAACCTCTGGTCTAGAAGGTTTTTCAATTAGAATGGTTCATACTAGAGGTTTTAGGGAACAACCGATTTTGCCTACTAGATTATACAGGTCATGATCTGTCATTTTACCTAATGTTTGATAGGCATATTAGGCATTCCAACGACCTGTCAAACAATATGTGCCAGTGGGAAATTCTTGTATATCTAAGGGGGTAGCGACATAGTCTTGCAACTTGGACGCTATTTTTATTCCAAGTAGTAGTCGCCAAGCCTGCCAATTTATGAAGAAATGTATAGGTAGGTTTTTTAAATAATATTTTTATTGTGTTTGACATAAAATATTTAAATGTAATCCATTATTCATGATTTTACGTAAAGTCAAAGAATACCTACCCAAGAAGCGAAACTAATTGGGCAATTCGTGGACAAAAAACTGTCAAGTTTTCTCAGTGTTTTACGCCCGTATGCACCGTACACGTTTAATCCAGATCAAGGATTTAATCGCGTTTAGTACCATAGCTAAATATGGTACTAAACGCGATTAAACCCTTAATCTGGATTAAACATGTACGGTGCATACGGGCGTTAGAGGTGGTTTAACGTCAAACATGCTGTCAATTTATGTAGAGCAACGTTTGGTATATTATTATTAGCGTTTTGTGAAAATTGCAGTAAAGTACGTAGTTGTATTTAACTAACTATTAATTAGAAATTAGATAGTTTTAAGATATTTGTTATTTAAAAAAAATACATTGCATTGTTCGTAAATTTTAATGACTGTTCTTGCATCTGGCTGTAAATGTTTTATATTTTAAATTTCTAAATCAGTATTACCTCTAATGATGTGTTTTACGCCTACGTATTATGCATCGTTTAAATTCATAGTCTTTTTTTTAATTTGTTTTTTTTTTGTTTTTCAATTAATTCGGATTAAAACAGTAAATAAAAAATAATACAAAACAATAATTAAAAGGAACCAAGTCGCTGCAATCAGGATGCAATCGAAACACATTTACAGCCACCTACAGTACTCCTATATATGTGACGTGTGGAGAGTGGGTTACCCCACGACACTTATGCCTCACTATGTCCATTGTGCTTCCTTCTAAGAGGATAGGCACCTCCTAGCTTGTGAGCTAGCCTTTAGGTTTAATGTAGTTGACAACGTTGCCAAGAGGTGCTTTTCATTTATTGGGCGGTGTTAGATAATATTCGCCTGAAACAAATATTCTAATAAATGAGAGCATCGGCAATCGTACAGGATATGCTTGATGGTCACATCTTCTTGTTCGCACCTCCTGCAGGGTGCGGATTCTGACGGCCCCATAATATGGAGATGTTTCCGTACTTGGCAATGATCAGTTTAAGATTCATACGTTTCTATGCTTCGTGTAAACAGTTGCGATGACGGTAAAGTGACCATCCGTCCCGTTATAGGTCGGACAGTCCCGATGTTAAATCACTAGTCCCGATTTAACATGTGCCCCGATTTTATCTTCCTTTTAAGCCATTATGGTGACGTTTTTTTGCTCTCCAATGAACCCTCACTACTTCAAAAAATAGAATTCTTTGACAAAAAATCTCCTAATCTCAATGTTTTTGATTTATTCCACTTTCTAATTTTTAAAATATGGTTACTTTAGATGACGACGAACGAACAAAGGACGGGTTGAAATTTGAAATAATTTGACATATCTTTATAGAGTTTTTACTTTAAATTAACCTAGGATCATTTATTATTCCAAACATTTTGAGTCAGGTATTGAAATTATTTTACGGGAAAATATGTTAAAACGCATTTTACTTCAACTTGCGAAAACAACACTGCCACAGAACCCTTCCTTTAGTTCCCATTTTGCATACTTCTGATTGTTTAACGTAGAAGCGACTTTAATTTGCGCTTTTACGTTTTAACAAACGGTTTCAAAAAAGCTGTTTCGAATTTGCTCGTTTACCTTTTACCGATTCGTAATCATACGAAACTGATGGATGACGGTGAACCAAACGACAAAAATTTATTAATTTTCATACGTTTCCCAGTGTATTAAGTTCCCATGCATTGGTACATACGAAAACTCATTCAGTTTCGCTTCTTGGGTAGGTATTCTTTGGTAAAGTAGATAGAATACACCGTATGTCGCCACCCTTAGATATACCAAACCTTCCCACTGGCAATTCATTTGTTTGGAATGCCTAATTGGGAGATGTTTAACTTGTTTGCTCTTATGCCTATCTATAATTCATTCTAGTATCTTCAAAAGAAATGGACGATAGGAGTTTGGTAGGTTTGGTCTACTAGCGCACCGTTACCACAATGACAAAAATAATTATTGATTTATAAAAAATATTATTATTAATATTATAACTTTTTGGAGACCTCTAGGTATGAATCGCAAAAATTAAAAACTATTACATAAACTTTTTTTTTTAAATAAAACCATAATTAAACCAGAGAAATTGAATATTTTCCGATTTAAAACGTACTCAAACCATATTACGACAAATATTTTTTTTTTATTTTATGTCTTTCTTCAATAACTAATAATATCTTAAAATTATAGACAATGTTACTTATGTTTGCAAGTATTGTTATAATTGATTACTAGAAAGTTGACGAACCCATCTTCACGACATATATATATTTTTTTTTTGTTTAACAAAACATTTCTTTATTAATTTAACACCTAACTAATAGATTTCTTCGAGTGTAATTTTTACAGATGCTTATTGGAAAGTTCTTTGTCACGTTAAATAAATAATAAATGATGAATAGAAAATTATTGAACATCTCTTCCTCTAATCGATCGTAGTATAAAAAACCGTTGAAATAGGGTAATTATTTAGTACTAACACTATTTAATTGTATAGAATATCCAGGTGTAAGAATCGATAGACTTCAGTAGATAATAGATAATTAATATTTGTAACAGTTGGTCTTAATTATACATATCTAATAATTATTATAACGCTATGTTTTTTTGTATTTTCTAATTACATTCTCATACATTTATTTAGGCATGTAATTTATCAAAAAGAATGAGAGTGAATTGTAGGCTTTTGTCAAATTCTTACTTTTTCTATATTGTATAAAACAAAAATCTCACATTCTTGCTAAACTATGTTGTAAACATATGTTTTTAATATTTATTTCAATAGTTAATTACTTATTAAAACAGTTAATTTTAATGACATTACAATTAGAAATATTAAACAGGACCCTATTACTAAGCGGACTGTATCTCGTGATCAATAATAGGTAGACAGTTGAAATTTTCACAAAATGTGTATTTCTGTTGTTGTTATAACAACAAATGATAAAAATAAATTAAAAATTAAATATATATATATATATATATATATATATATATATATGCCTCCGTCTATGCTAAAAAAACCTTATCCAAGAAATAACCGCATAACATTCTTATTACAAATAGTTTGACACGCTACACATTCTTATTAAACAGTTCAATGTTTAATTTATATTCGAAAATTACAAATAAGTACAAAAAAGCACTATAAAAATTAAGCTGTCACTTAACGCCGTAAACAAAATGTCTTAGGTTGCCAAATTTAAAGGTTATAAACAAGAATGTTCAATATTCATATAGGATAAACGTGTAAAATACGATAAATAAAAAGTGATTATACCTAATAAAAAACTCATATTGATGCCTTGAATTCTTTATTTTTCTGTTTGCAGGATATTTGATGGAAGAGATCTGACAACATAGGAAGAGCGTATTGGCAGGAAGATTCAACATATACGATGTGTATCTATTATTTCCGATATCTTTGGCACATACCAATCGTAAATTATGACACGAAATTAAAATTAGATATTAAACTTAATAATTTAAGAGCTATAACAGTAAGCTACTAAGCTAGCTGTCAAACAATTAACTAAGTTTCCAATTAATTTAGTTGCGATATTTTTCCTAGGTTCTGGAATTTTTTCTTAACTGGCAGGCATTACTTGCACCTCCC